TGTTCTTCCGTGCAGGTGGCCATGCTCAATGCTAATAAAAGGAGGAAGCATTATCATGATTTCTAATAATGTTTTATGCAGGTGCTTGCTCAGCTCCCCCTAAATAAAAATGAGAGTTAAATTAATAATTATAACTGTACAGGTGGAGCTGCTTAGCCCTCATAATTAAGAGCATGGCTTGGCACATGGTCAATGATTTGAGATATTTTCATTTCCATATATAACTGTTTGGGATTTTTATTAGGATAACCATGCAGGTCCTTTAGAATTTTTTTGCTTTATATTTGATGTAAAATTTATAATAATTTGTTAAGATTTGTGAAAATGCAACTTTGAGCGTGGTTATTCTTATTTCACTTGAATCCCAAAAGGAGAAGGCATCGCATAGGGGAGAGTCTTCTTTCATTTGGGAGATCGAGTGGGATGGCTTTAGATATCCAAAGAGAAAAGGCAATGCCCCCTACCAAGGGGGAATTGTCTCTTCATTTGGATATTCATGCCACGACGGATCCAAGGAGTCCAAGGAGGAGATTTCTAAGGAGGGAGATCTAAGAATTCTAAGGAAGAGTGATCCAAAGAAGACTGAAGACCTGAAGACCAATATCCCATTCAAAGTCATTTGCGTCTGTCATAGGCTTAGAAATTCGAGTTATTGACAGTGGTGCCCGGCCACTTTATTTTCTGCCTATTTAGGTTGTAATAAGGGCAATTTGCCTATGGCCATTTAGTTGATTATTTTTGAATTTATATTGATGTGTTTACCTAATTGTGCAATAGAATTACCTGCTCTTTCTAGGTTTCTTTCTTGCATGCCATTTTTTTTGCTTTTGCCTGGATTTTTGTTAGGCTCTCTAAGGACTATAATTTTTTTTATTTATAACTAAAATTTAATATTTAAGTTTTAAATAATTTAGAAATTTAACGAACCTCGGGAACTGCCGGAATCGTCTAGGGTCACATGCATATTACTGCATTATTCTTTCCTTGCTATAAGACATCTCCCTGCTTGCAGGTAGAGTCCAGATAATCTGTTCTATGAGGATGAAGTGCTGGACCTAGGGAGACTCAGTATTTTCTAAAAATTTATTTTCTATAAGTCTGTTTTTAAAATTCTATAGCATTCATGAGCTGACATTTTAACTAGCATGCATTGCATTAGTAACCAACTAAATAAAATTTAATTGCATTAGCTAGGAGTATCTGACCCACATAAGTCCAGGACCACTTAGGAAATTCTCTAGATGTTGGTCATATTTCCATTAACTGTACCACCCACCCATCTCTCATAACTGACTTGACAGTATGGTTTTAAAGCTATTAGAAGGTTAGCTGGCTCCCCAATCCAGGCCGGAGTAAGTCCAAGTTTTGCACTGCATTAGCTAGGACACGGGTCTTAGTGTTTCGTAGAACACTAAGCCCAACCTAGATTTAGGATTCGAGGCTACTACATTTGGTCTCGTAGTATGCCATAAATAGTAGGTAGGTTCCTTCCTTTCAGGGACTATAAATCCCACTTATCCGCGTCACAGGATGACACCACCTCCATCCTTCTCTCACGCATGTGATTTGATGCCTTGACTTTTATTTTCTCCAGTTTCTCTTTAGTACCCTAGAGCCTCCGAATACTGGTATGAATCACGCATATTGATTCAACCCTTCGGACCTTTCTTCCCTTTGAGTAGGATTTCCTAGTTTATACCCTCATGCCGATCCCACCTTTGGGAAGGATAATATACGATCCTTAATCGAGAGTTTTCTCGGGCTTCGGCTTGGGATGTAATTAACCACGGGGGCTTGCACCCGTGGGAAACTCGGTCCCACATCTACTAAACTCCATTCGAACTATTGTATCGGGTGGGGGAAACCAGTGATTAGGTTGTGTATATTACTACCCATCGTGGTATGTTGGCGAAAGCCTCTATCCTCAATGGTTAGTCGTATGCGCGATCCAATCTATCCCTTCCAATTGACCTGTTCGCGCGGTGCTCTTTCGGAGGTCCACAATGATTTGTTAAATTGAGTGTAGACACCACACTATTCTAAAAAAGAGTAGGAGATGACATTGTCATTGTCCAAATATATGTTGATCAAAAGAAATTTAAAGGGGTAGTTAGATCATTACTTTATTTAACTGCTAGTAGATATGATATCATGTTTAGTATTTTATCTTTATGCTAGATTTCGAGCTGATAAAAAAGAATTTCATTTGATTGTTGTTAAACAAATTCTGAGATATCTTTTAGGAACTTAAAACCTAAAGATTTGGTATCATAGAGACGACTCTTCTTTTAAATTCATTAGATATTCTGATTCAGATTTTGCAGGATATATAGTTAATAAAAAGAGTATTTTTAGGACTAGTCAATTCATTCGAAACTCTTTAGTTTCTTAGTCAAATAAAAAATACAATTCAGTAGTCC